CCCCCCCCCCCCCCCCCCCCCCCCACTCCGCCCCGCCGACCACATCCCTACCCATTTCCTTAAGTCATGTTTTCTTCCCATCTGTGCACATTCTGTCTTGGGAAACTGTATTTCACCAAGATAACCCCCTCCGTTAACACAGCTGCTCCCTTCTGTGTAATTTCCTTTATCTCCTTATGTTCTCACGTTCACTGGATCTTTTCTTTCTGTGTCTGTCCCAACAGGGGCTGGAGAATCTGGGACATCCCTACCCATTTCCTTAAGTCATGTTTTCTTCCCATCTGTGCACATTCTGTCTTGGGAAACTGTATTTCACCAAGATAACCCCCTCCGTTAACACAGCTGCTCCCTTCTGTGTAATTTCCTTTATCTCCTTATGTTCTCACGTTCACTGGATCTTTTCTTTCTGTGTCTGTCCCAACAGGGGCTGGAGAATCTGGGAAAAGCACCATTGTCAAGCAGATGAAGTAAGTCCTTTGGGGCTAACGCCCTAGAAGCGTCGATCATTTGCCTTGAAAAAATCTAGACATTCCTCTGATTTTCTTTGGAGGGGGGAGCTTGTGAGAAGGGGCTTCTTTAGTTGTAAGAATGCCTGTGACCGCCATATTTATCTGAGAATTACTGTGGTTATCGTGTTGCACATCTGTAGCAGTGATTTCTAGTGGGGAAAGAAGATGGAGGGGGATCCAGCCCTTTGCTCACCGAGGATGACCAGGTGTCTGCTGTTCATGGGGTTGGTGCTGAATTGGATGTGGTGTGGTTTCTCTTTTCCCTCTCATAAGGTGTGAGAAGCTGCCTGTGGTTGGGGGTGAGGTAGGATGGGTTTCGTAGAAGATATGAATGGCACAGATGAAACCAGGACATCATCATCCTCTGCATTTAAGCTTAATGTCAGGTTTTTATCTCCTAGGCTCTCTCCTCTCAAAACACACACTCCCTTCCGTGTTTTACCTCCTGACGTGAGCTGCTGGGCCGGCTCCCTGTATTTGTTTATTTTAAAAATCTGCCTGTAATGCGGATTTAAAGCAAGGCTTCCTGCCACTCAAAGCCCTTTTTACCCGAGATTTCCGCCTTTCCTGTTGATTAATTAAGACGTTGGCTGCTGATCACCAATGAAAATTAAGGGAGTTTTAAAAAAAGAACAGAACATTAAAACAATTACACAAGGAAACCTGCTCCGCTGTAAAAGCCCTTTCCAAATCGGAACATTGTTCCTCTGTCTTCCCCTCCCTCAACCCTCTCTCCGGGGCATGGATGTATTTTAAATCTCACGAGGCTGTCTGGAAGAAAGCGACGAACTGCTGTGGTTGTGTAGGGTTGGACTTGCCCAGGGGTTCTTCTGTGACACCTTTGTGCGCGCACACGCTTGCTAATTGGGCACTTGCTATGCCATAAACGCGCGCACACACATTGATTCTCTTTCAAGTGAGCAGTGATGGCTGGGGG